CAGACCCTGGTGATAGGTATACATACCCTGGTGATGGGTATATAGACCCAGTGATAGATAATACAGACCCTGGTGAAAGGTATACAGACCCTGGTGATGGGTATATAGACCCTGGTGATGGGTATACAGACCCTGGTGATAGGTATACATACCCTGGTGATGGGTATACAGACCCTGGTGATGGGTATATAGACCCTGGTGATAGACAATACAGACCCTGGTGATAGGTATACAGACCCTGGTGATGGGTTTACAGACCCTGGTGATGGGTATATATACCCTGGTGATAGATAATTCAGACCCTGGTGATAGAAAATACAGACCCTGGTGATAGGTATACAGACCCTGGTGATGAGTATATAGACCCTGGTGATGGGTATACAGACCCTGGTGATGATTATATATACCCTGGTGATAGATAATTCAGACCCTGGTGATGGGTATTCAGACCCTGGTGATGGGTATACAGACCCTGGTGATAGGTATACAGGCCCTGGTGATAGGTATACATACCCTGGTGATGGGTATATAGACCCAGTGATAGATAATACAGACCCTGGTGATAGGTATACAGACCCTGGTGATGGGTATATAGACCCTGGTGATGGGTATACAGACCCTGGTGATAGGTATACATACCCTGGTGATAGGTATACAGACCCTGGTGATGCGTATACAGACCCTGGTGATAGGTATACAGACCCTGGTGATGGGTATATAGACCCTGGTGATAGATTATAAAGACCCTGGTGATGGGTATACAGACCCTGGTGATGGGTATACAGACCCTGGTGATGGGTATATACACCCTGGTGATAGATAATTCAGACCCTGGTGATAGGTATACATACCCTGGTGATAGGTATACATACCCTGGTGATAGGTATACAGACCCTGGTGATGGGTATATAAACCCTGGTGATAGACAATACAGACCCTGGTGATAGGTATATAGACCCTGGTGATGGGTATACATACCCTGGTGATAGGTATACAGACCCTGGTGATGGGTATATAGACCCTGGTGATAGACAATACAGACCCTGGTTATAGGTATACAGACCCTGGTGATGGGTATACAGACCCTGGTGATGATTAACAGACCCTGATGATGGGTATACAGACCCTGGTGATAGATAATACCGACCCTGGTGATACATAATACAAACTATGGCAATATATAAACAGACCCTGGTAATAAGTATACAAACCCTGTAAACACAATTAATTTATAAAAGTAATATATGATAAATGCATAAATAAATCAATAAATAAATGCATCCATGAATGAATGAATGAATGAATGAATAAATAAATAAATAAACTAATTAATTAATTAATAGAATAAGAAACAAACGAAGGAATGAATGTAATAAATAAACAAACAAATAAATGAACTTCCTAATGAATTAATCAATTACTTAATTATTTAATTATAAGAATAATAAATAATGAATAGATAAATAAACTAACAACCATACAAATTAATAAATCAATGAATTAATTAATAAATAATTAATTAATGGATGGAATAATTAATAAATGAAGGAAAGAATGTAATAAATTAAAAAAAAATACATAAATACATTTTTTAATTAATTAATCAGTTACTTATATAATTATTAGGAAGATAAATAAATAAATAAATTAAATGAATTAAATAAATAAATAAATAAATAAATAAATAAATAAAATAAAAACTAACTGTAAAGTTGATTCATTTATTCTTCTGCTTTATAAATAAAAGTTATCGAATTATGCATAAATTTCTGCATCTGACTATAGTATCAGTCTGCATTACTAGTTTCCATTATTTATTCCGAATTTCCTCCTCCCGTTTTCCGATCTCGATGGAAATTTTTTTGCGAGCATGCGCTCTGCCTGGTTATAGAGGCTGGTTACGAGATCCAAAAAAGCATACATATTATACCTCGAATTTGGCACCATTTATCTAAAAATCTCCAGGGAAGCATGCATGCCCCCAGATTCCCATATCACACCTAATGTCTAGCAATGATTCTCATTAAATATTTTGCCTCCCTTTACATGGAAAGAGATGTCAAATTAAATAGCTAGATAAATCCCTGAATTTTTGCTTCTTCATATGTTTGAGACTGGCCCCGGGATCACGAAAGATCTTAAGCTTAAGTCAAAATCTTTATGTTGTACTAAATTATTGTAGACATTAAGTAGACCAAAATTAAAATATTTTTCAATATTGCATTACAAATTGTGTTGTTATCTGCAAATTAAGAGATTAATTCAATAATTAATAAACATTTTACAGGTGATTGTAAATTTGACTTAAGTCTAAGTCTGTTTCATGATCCTGGGGCCTGGTCTCGTAACTACCTCATGCTTGTCTTTGAACAATGGAATGAATGAAGTATTTTAAATTGAATTTCAATTTTCACTTCTATATAAATTATCGTTATAACTTTCTGAGACATATTTAAAAGAACAGAATGATAAAAAAATCAAGTTCTTAGAGGCTCTGATTAATATCATGATTACATTATCAACTCCCCAACCATTCAACTGGAACCACTGAAAATTTTCTCAGGGAGGATAAACTATTGTCTGGAATTTTCATCAACTGTAACACTTGGAAATTTTCATATTGGGGATTTTCAGAATTTTAACATTAGCTATTCCTCCTCTATGGTATTTTTCATACTATAAATAGAAATTAATTTTGTCAACAATTACATAGAGTTGATACTGCTGTAATAATGCTCTTTATTATTGCAAAGATATAGGTGTTAGATTTAATGAATTAATTATAATGATTAAAGTTATTCTTACATCTGGGTTCATGATATACTCTTTTGCCTTTAAATTCATACATCTTTCCAATTGGATTTAGAGAAGTCAGCAAGCACAGGCCTCTATATTACACACTAATATAATAATTACTATATTTATATTAAAAAAAAGATCATGAAAATAAGTTGATTAGTAAACAATGAATGGATTCAACAGTTGTTCTGCTATTAATAGATTTAGGAATTTTTTTATAGACAGAAATAGATATTGAAAGTTTTTGAGTTATTGTCCAAATATTATGTAAATGAAATTCTCATTTGTTGAGAAGATATGAAAGGGTTTGGATCCATGAAGGGCTAACAAACAATGCTCATCTTGATTACAGAGAAGTATGAATGACTGTGATTTACCACAATAATGTCACAATAAGAATTTGTTTGGGATATGAAGTGTGTACATTTTGATCAACAAAAGAACTGGACAGATTTATTTATTAATGCAGGGGTTGATTGTTGATTTTTGATTCGTATAACTATCATGATAAACTTAATAACACAGATTTTATATGTGTGTTTGAATTACTGCAGGATTTCTAAATTCTTTGACATTGTTATTGGCAGTCAATAAATAACTTGAAATACAAGCTAGGAGTACCCAGGTTCATTGAATATATAAATTAAGAATTGTTGTAAAGAATAAAGTTTATTTTTATTATTATGTAGATATTAAGATTTAGGATAGTAATGTGATACAAGTGTGGATCCAGAAATTTTTTCGGGGGGGGGGGGGGGGGGGGGGGGGAGTCCACCCTAGTCAATAAAAAAACATCCAGCCCAGAAATTTGTTGATAAAAAAAGTAAATTCCTTTCCCAAACATGAAAAACTTATTTGTGTGTGTGTGTGTTGGTGGGGGGTGGGGGTCAAGCTCATTTTTAGTTACTTTAGTATGTACATTTAATAACTCCACAAATTCCATATAATATCAGTTTCTTTATAACATCATGTTATGGGTTGTCTGTTGTTTGTTCAATTTTCCTTTTCTCCCTCTCTCATGTATTTCATTCTTCACCAATTGTCTTTTGGAAAAGGGCATAATATATATTTAACTAAAGATTCTATCTGAAAATGAAAGATATTTTGATATCAGTGTTCTGGCAAATTTACAATGAGGTACCTGGATTCAGGGGACATTTGGTGAAGTACATGGGACAGCAAGTAAAGAAAGAAATTAAAGAGGGGGACTTAGGAATGAGGAAATTGGTCAGAGGGCTAGTTATATATGTATCAAAACTCACCCCTTGTATGATTTATTCATGTGCATTGGGAGGGAAAAAAAGGTAAGTTAACTTCTACTTGAGTATACATGTATGTGTTTCTATAGCAATATATGAAATGTACTGTGACCTTTGACCCTCAGGTTGATATAGGTCTACGTACTGTATGTTATTCCAATGAAATTATAAAACGTGCAGAATTGTTGATTTAATTTGTTGTTGTTGTTCTAAAATTAGAATTTAAAAAATTCCAGTTTTATTAAATATAAAACTGAAAATACCCCAAACATTATATATATATAAGCTGAAAATAACTAGTCATATATATATATAATGGTCCTCAGGTTCACTGGTTGTGTACATCTTTGATTGGTTGGTTCTTTTTATGTTTTTCAAATGAACAGAATGAGTGACATTGCAAAGCTGTATAATATAAGCTTTTATAAATAGGTCTAGATGATATACATTGTACTGATAATTGAATTGTCCATCAGTTATGTTGTGATAGAATGTTCATACTGTAAATCACTTTTTATTCACAAGAACTTTATTTTTTCCTGTAATTACATGAGACAGACTGCTCACAAAAAAAAAAAAAAGAAAAATCATTCTGGGAAGTCATGTATAAGTCTCTAACCAAGGGTAAAAGATCATTTTCATCAGTTTTCACCCATGTCTGTCTAGCTGTCTTATGTTTTCATTAATATTTGTGACTGTATTGGAAGTGTGTAAAATTTTTGTCCTGTCCTTAACTTTGCAATAGAAGAATTAAATTAAATTCATGCATGAAACAGTGATAGCATCAGAGCATTGAATGTTCCATGAATCTGTCAAGGTCATTTGAATAAGGTCTAGGTCATGGAATTGAAAGTATAAAATAACTGGTACATGACTTTACAATGGAAAAGCAGAATCAATTCTGTGTTTTTAACAATTCATGAAACTTATGTTTTCTTTTATAGGAATCCTGATGGTCTTGTATAGTTAATCACCGGACATCATAGAGAGGTTTCAAGGAGTTCATAATGGCAGAGGAGCAGAAGGACTCTGTAATTATAATCTTAATAATAATAATACTAATATAGGGTCATAAAGGACCTTTTGTGTAATAGAGAATTGAGTTCATGTAATGGATATAAGCAATTGCATCTTCTCTGGCTTTTCTGGTGGAAAAACACTTCGAATGTATTTACATCATTGGATGTAAAAATTTTATACAAAATGGAGTGGCTTCCTATTTTTTAAAGTATTGGATAGACAGACTTGGTTGTTTCTTCTATAGTAGATTTAAGGTAATTTTATATTCAATGATTATAAGTTCCAGACTCTATGGATAAGAGGTCTCCCTACATTTATTTCAAAGTTTATGAAAAGGGGGGTTGTCAAGGACACCTAAGAAACACGTTAGAAGTTGTTTTTCTGCCTGTCGGAAAGGCCCAAGGGATATAAGCTAAATACTATTCTATATGATTAAGGCCCAATTTTACATATACCATTGCAAGAGGCATTATTGTTTTTAATTGACCTACAATGTTCACAAATATACTGTATTCCAAAACTTCTTGTGTGAAAGGCTCATTTTATGATTTAATTCTTAAGATATGGTAAATCATTCTCAGTATCTAGACTATTGTTCTTTGAACATGAAAGTATTAAAATTGGTTACACTGTAGTGTCTGTTGTGTATATACGAGATGAAGTTTGAGTTTTGTAGGATTTGGACCATATTTAGACTATTAATTATTGGGGAGTTTGAATGCTGGTCTGTCCATTTTTTCCCTTTTCTTTTCTGTGTATTAGCTCTTCTGAGCCAAAGGCTCAAAGAGCTAATACTATGGCCACTTGTGCGGTGTGCCTAAACTTTTCAAAATATGGGCCATATCTCAAGAACCCCTTGGCCAATTTTTGTCAAATTTGTCACATAGTATCCTTCGCTCAAGGGCTCTGGTTTATACTAAAACTACGGATGTGACTCTTAAACAAGGGGATGTGACTCTTAAACAAGGGGAGGTGACCTTTATACAAGGGGAGATAATTAGGAAAATAAAAACAAAAGTACTGGTTGCTAAAAAATCTTCTTCTCAAGAACCACTTAGCAGATTATCACCAAACTTACATGCAAGGATGAGAATATGTTGTAGAATAAAAATTGTTCAAGGCATTACCCTGGGGCAAAGGGCATGGTCTCAAGTCACTGCAGAGTTAATCAAAAATTGTGTTTTGTTAAAACTTTGATATTTTGCTTACTATTAGGACTAGGATCATCAAATCTTGTCAATTGATATATCTTAAGGACCTCATATAATGATGACTCAAAAGAAGGTCACTGTGACCTACTTTTTGAACTTTGCATGCATTTATTTCAGTTTGATTTTGATGCATATCTCGGACATTTTAAAGCCAATAATCATCAAAACTTGTCGTCAGTTTATGCATTATGGGGGCTTAAAGTGTGTCAACCAAAAAGTAGGTCACCATGACCTACTTTGTGAATTTTACGGCTATCATTTTCAAAACATTTAAGATAAGTATTTTGGATACTGATAGGTTTAGAATAATCAAACCTTGTAAGTTGATGCATTTTAAGGCCTTAAACATATTTATTTAAAAACTAGGTCACAATGATCTACTATTTGAATTTTGCATACATTCATTTTCATATTGTTTAAGAGGCATATTCTGAACACTTTTAAGCCTTTGATTATGAAACCTTGTCAGTTGTTGAATTCTAAGGCCTCAAAGTATTTCAACCAAAAAGTAGGTCACAGTGACCTACTTTGGGAATTTTATGGCTAAATTTATTTCAGATACTCATTGGCATAGAATCATCAAACTTTGTCAGTTGATGTTTCTTGGGTCCTGGGAATGTGTCAACTGAAAAGTAGGACACTGTGACTTACATTTGGAATTTTTATGGCTATATTTAAATGTTTCGAATACTAATTGACTTAGAATTATCAATCTTTGTCATTTGATGCATTATGGGTCCTCAGAATGTTTCAACTGAAAAGTAGGTCATAATTACCTACTTTGGAATTCCTTGGCTATATCTGAATATTTTAAGATAAAAAGGAGCTTCAAATCATCAAACATTTTTTTTGGTTGATGCATCTTGGATTCTCAGAGTTTTTAACCAAAATGTAGGTTACAGTGACCTACTTTTGGAATATCAAGGCTTTATCTAAATATATATACTAAGAGGCTTCAAATAGAAGTGATAGGTTGTACAATTTATCAGAAGAGTGCCCTTGAGCCTCGTTATATTTTCTTCCATTTGCCTTCTGACAGTAACATGCATATAAATGAAAATAACATGTCTGTGAATTTAACAGGTAAAATGGATAAATTATAGTATTTTACTGTTGAAATGTAAAATGTTTTAATAAATTTTTATTATTAGCATTTGTGTACAAAGTTAAGATATATTGTTTATTTTTAGGAGGGACCTTTAAGTGATTTATATGGTAAGTATTTTCTCCATATTTTAATTCTTCTGAAACAACTACTTACATCACATCATGAATATAGTAAAACATAGTTCCAACGAACATGCTTATTATGGATTCACACTTTCAATGTGTTTTTCATACCCTGTAGTTTTAAAATTTACTAGTATTTCAGAGTTATCAGATGTAGCAAAATAAATTTATAATGAATCAAATTCATTATAAGCATGTTTACTGTAGATGTTTTCAGAGTGATTTCATGTTTTAGTAGCTCTACTGGTCAGAGACCAGAAGAGCTTATGCAATAGTAATGTTCCATCATCCATCTGTCTGTCTGTAAACAATTTTTCAAAATGCTCTTCCTCCTACAGATTTGGTTTGATTTCAATATAACTTCGGACACAACTAGATACACTAAGATACATAATTCTTTGTATCGTTTTTTTTTTCCATGAAAGGTGTTGCCATGGTTACTTGAAATAGAAATTTCTGTGAAATACTTTCATAAAGCTACTTCTCCTACAGTTTTGGTCTTATTTCAGTATAACTTGGCAAACAAGTAAATTGCATTAAGCTACATAACTCTATTTATTGTCTTTTGATTTCTTTGAATGGTGTTGTCAGGCCGGGTTACTAAAAATAGGAATTTCTGTGAAATATTTTCAAAATGCTACTCCTTCTACAGTTTTGGTCTGATTTCAGTATAACTTGGCACACAAATAGACTATACTAAGATTCATAGTTTTGTATATTGGTTTTGATTTCAATGAACAATGTTGCCATGGTTACTAGAAAAAGAAATTTCTGTGAAATACTTTCAAAAAGCTGTATATTTCTTGCTTGTCGTTGAAATTATCTTTGCAAATGAAATCTTTTGACATGTAGCTCTCTGTAGTCATTGCTAACTTTTAAACAATTGGACACCAACTTCTCTAGAACCTTACAACAAGATTGGAAGAAAATATATAGCATAGTGTAAAGATTTCAGGGTTCAGCATTTTAAATATAAATCTACATGTATATGTGGAAAAATCTATGAAATACTTACACTGTAAGCTAATTATAGGCCTTGATTTATCATAGAGAAGATCAACACCTAGTGTTGCTTCCCCTGCAGCGAGAATGGAGTCAAAGAGATCATAGTCAAGGACTATTATACAAAAACAAAATGTTTTTAAAACAACATTTAGAATATGTCATATTACTTTTAAGATTAAAAGTATACAACAAAAAATATAAAGTCGATAAGTCTACTTGTCGTCCAGTGTATAATGAAAAAAAAAAACATCAATAAATTTCTAAGTTTGTGAATTTTTATGACATTTATGTGTTAGATGATTAAAAAAGAGAGAGAAAAAACTGTAACGAAGTTTGACTGTAAACATGTCACTCTCTACCATCGGCTCATACATTCACCTCTGTCGTTGGCTCGCGTATATCACAGTGTTAAGCACAAGAAATAGTGTGATTGTTTCGATTCATTATAATTAAATTCCTGCACTAATGTTTGTCTTTTAAGGCAGATATCTACTAAGTAGATCTAGACCTATTACATTGTATTTTAATTTGAAATAATCCTTGGAATATCATGGTTTTTACCTTATGTCAAAAATCTTGACGCAAGCCCATTGCAGAGGTGTCTGAGAGAGGAACGAACAACAACTCTGCATGGTACAGAAAAATTCTAGAGAATGGGTCTCAAATGCTTGATAAAGCGCAGAGATAGACATTAACATTCAGATCCACTTGCCATACTGTTACAAGTAAGTAATATGTTTCGTGCTTGTAGATTCAACAACATTGGATCAAATTATTAAAGATATTCAGGATGTATCAAATGACCAGGGGTCTGGAATGGATATTGAGGGTATTAGCAACCCACCGATGCAAAATCCAGGTAATTTTACATCATTTTTCTTGTAAGACTATGCAAAATTATGGCACCGTTTTGCTGAACTGACACAACTTTTCACCTACCACCATATTATTATTTATAAGGTTTGTTTCTGATTGTCTACAGAAATTTGTCAGGTTGATCAAGCCTTAAGAGATTGTGAAGTGAGTTGAGCCCTAGCTCTGATGCTTGATTAACTTGACAAATTTTTATGGACGGTCAGTAACAGTCTTAATAATTTACTTACTTGCCCATGACTATTAAATACATTGAATTTTTTTTTTTTGATAAATAATATGTATTCATTTATCATGATTATTGCTTTTGTGTACAAATCTTTGACATCATTGCATTGTTTTATTTTGATTACATTACTGAAACTAGACTACATCAACTTAAATAATTCTACTCATTGATTACCAATTTTGAATGGTGTTGCCATGGTTACTAAAAATATAAATGATAATATTATTTAAAGACACTGCTCTTTTTTTAGTTTTTATCTAATTTTAATCCTTGTATAGATGGAAGTATTCATGTATATATGATTACATGCTTAGATTTACAATCGTAGGAAAATCTGATGTTTTATCTTCGACATCTGTATGTGATAATTATATTAGTTCATTGTGTTGATTCTTAATTCTGATGAATGGTGTTCTCGTAATCAGTAAAAAAAAAATCATAGAATCCTTAAAACTGCTATCTTTCCTACAATTGATTGAACTGAGTTTCTGGTACTTTTATGCTAGATCATTATCAACAAGAATTGCCTCTGTAAGCTGACGATTTGAATCAGTGTTATTGCAGCTGTTGCTAAAAATGGACAAAAAGGAAATTATTTGTTGAAAGTTATGAAAGTATTTTGATATTCTGCTTCTTACTGTGTAGTTACAGAATGAAGAAGTGTTGTAACCTTTCAAATAACAGATTGATTAAATAATGAATTGTTTGAAGCCCTTTGACAGGTGCTTCATGAATCCAAACCAGTAGAGCTACAGTCTCATCAGAGATTTTGGTTTTTATACAGGAACAAACCCAGATGGTAACACATATAATGGAGGACCTAATGGCATCACACAGAGACAATCAACAATGGCAGTCCATATAGCAAACCGTATGACAAGGTTCAGATACGACACAGAGCTTAATAATCGAAACATTGGCAAAGAAGAACTCATGTCAATCAAGGTAAAATCTGGTCACAGCAATTCAGTTTTAAGTGATTAATATTATTTTTAGGTCAACTGAGTTACTCAGGTGACCTATTGCTATCTGTTTTTTGTTGTGCATCGTCCATTAACATTTGACAATTTCAGCTTATTCTCTATAGCTGCTGAACCAATTTCAACCAATTTTGGCATAAAGCATCTCTGCACGAAGAAGAATTGAAATCGTGAATTTAATGGTCCCTGCCTCCCAAGGGCCTGAGGAGTGGGCTAAAACCATAAAAATTAATGCGATCTTTAAAATATTCTTCTTTACTCGTGGACTTCAAGCAGTCAAACTTGGCATGATTGTAATAAGTATTGAGCCCTCTGCCAGAATTGTGAAATTCATGGCTCCAAGGTTAGGGGCTCTAGTGTTAGGACGGAGCTCTTTAGATCAGTGCATTAATTCTTCATAAATCTTCTTCTCTTGTTTAGGTATTTAGAATACAAACTATGTGCATGGTAATGATGAGCAAGAATGCTTCTTCTGGCACCTGGGTGAGGGGTGAGGGAGTTAATGGCAGGGCTCCATTGATCAGTAAATGCATAAATTCTTTCAAATCTTCTACTCTGTTCTTGAGTAGGTTGCAAAAAAACTAAGTGCATGGTTGTAACAAGCGAGAGTGCCTCTTCTGAAATTGTGAAATTCATTGGCTCTGGGTGAGGAATCTGGAGTTAAGGCAGGACTCCATTATAGATCATATAGTGAAAAAGCATTCTTTTAAAATCTCTGCTCTTGGATGTTTAGCAGACAAACTAAGTGCATGGTTATGATGAGAAAGAGTGCTTCTTTCGAATTCTGAATTGGCCTATTGGTGAGGAGTTCTGGAGTTATCAAGTTATTTTGGAGCTATATTATGATCATTTATCAGAATAGTTACTTTGCATTAAGAGAAGTACTGTATAAGTGGAATTTATTAGCAAGACGCAAACATAGTGATTTGTCCTTAATAATAATTATTTTATTTTAGCAAGAAGTAATTTTAGAGATTTAATAGCATCCTAAAAAAACAACAGTAACCTCCAAAGCAGTATAATGCATGTACAAGAATTTTAAATATAAATATACAAAGTATTTTCATAGTCTTAATAGTCAAATAGACTTGTAAGTAATAGATGGCACTGGCATATACAGGCAAGATTCTGAGTTGTTGCTTATTATCTGACAAACTATTTTGTTGATCCCTGATCATCCTTTTTTCTCGTTTTTGAGTGTCACTTTATTTCATGTTATTATATAATTATTTACCATTCCATAGATCCTTTAAAGGGTTGTATTATACTCAGGTGACCATTAAGGCCCTTGGGCCTCTTGTTATTGAATCCTGTCTGCTTCAGAATGTGGACTTTTTGTATACGGTTGTCAAATGGGTCAAAATCTAGAACATGTAACCAAGTGCTTTTCTGTTTGAGTACTGTAGATTTCTTATTTTACAGAAGTAATTATTATCGTGAAATAACTCGTAGCTGTCAAAATGCAAGAAATGGAATGTTGAACTAGGGCTACATTTAGTTCAACATTATAAAACTAAAAGCGAGTGATTTTACGTCACAAGTGGTGCCTCTTGTGAAATTACATGAAAGTAATTTTTCCATATCCGTTTGATATGTTATTATATCAAGCTAAATGTAATCTTATGCCTTAAAAGCAAGATACAGAAAAGTTTTAAATATTTGTATTTGTAAAGAAACTAGAATTTTTTTCCTGGTTTTTAAAATACATTTTATTGTGGAAGTTTGAAGTTACTTTTCATAAAATTCACTTTCTAAGGAAGAAAATACTGTAGATGTACTTTTTCCACAGAATCATAATTCCATGGACCACAATTTCTGTTCAATCCCTGGTTAGAAAATTACACAGATTTCTGGAATTGCCTTTGTATGCCCTTTAATGCTGTGACAAATTTGCATGGAAAGTGCATGGATGTACATAGCATAAATTAATCCCAAGTGAAAAAAAAGTAGATCTACAGTATTAGCAAACTGGGGCATTGTATAAACAAGCTTCATTTTGACAAATTACCATGTGTGTGTGCCACGTAAACATCTACCAAGTGCTTTGATGTTCTGCATAATTTTAATTATTTAACATAAAAAAAATTTAAGTAAAGATTTGAAAATCTCAAATTTTGTTCTGTGTAACTCACAGAGTAGAAATTTAATTCGACATTCTGCAAGTACAAGTAGCAAATACATTATTCCTACCATTGACTAGCTCTAAAAACTTTTTTGAATGTTTGTAACAGATATTGACACGTTTGTTTTCAAGTTAATATGTGAATTTTCCTTTCACTCCTAGTTCATCAATATAGATACAGAGGTCTTTGTGAGAGTCCATTGTGTAGATCCCGTCAACAAAAAGGCACATCCGTACTGTTTAATTGGTGACAAGTGTAAAAATGGACTGTATTGCGAAAAGTTTCATCCCACCGTTGAAAATAAAAGTACATTGTAAGTGGAAATTCTGTTGTCAGCTGGTACATGGTTTGGTAAATCAGTGTTTCTAGTAGAGCTGTCAGTGATGAGTTAAGTACCATTCCCTCATAGAAAATCCAGTCTATATGACTTTTGCCACAGTTAATTAGCAAAGAATAAGTGCCTGCATTAGCTACCATGGCCATACCTGTACTTGTTCTAATTTAAAATGATATGTGGGAATGAAGAGATAAGTAAAGAAAATTAAACAGAAAGTATGTGGTTGCAGTTTACTAAACTGTCACAATTAGTTATAGAATTCATGTTGATAATTTGGCTGAGAGTACATCTTAACTTTATTGAATATTTTACCTCAGATCCTGTAAAGCAACCATAAAAATTCCCAAAAGAGGGGAGTATGAAGACGAACTCAAAAAACGAAAACAGACCATGGAAAAACACCTAGGCCTATTTAGTGAAGAAATGAAGAAAGGTATGCTCAGTGTTATTTTATATAAAGGACTGTAAAAATGGTAATATAATTGCATATATTTCCTTTAAGATGAAGGGAGACATTTTGTTTTATGATCAGTATTTTTGTCTGTCAATGTAAGACTTGAACCTCTTATCTTTAAAAAAAATCCTAGGCTTATGATATTTGGTTTGTATGTGTACCATCATAAAATGATACATGTGAACTATGATGACATCACGAATCAGTGACCTAAATGTGACCTTGACAATATTTTAACAGCACTTTTATGAAAACTTTCCATACCTTTTTCCCAAAAATTTTATTTTATTCAAGCATAAAGAAATCACAGATGCCATAAGAGCTACATAAATCATACTAGGGCTGCATTCAAGAACATAGCAGCTACCCAGCTGTACAAAGCAGCTTTGATCTTGAATGATAGGCTAGCCTAGCCATAACAAGCATTACTTCACAGTGCATGCAGTACGAACTAGCTAGGTTAGCTGCTATAATCTTAAATGCAGCCCAGAAGTAGAAAAAAAATAAGTCTACAATGTAGTACAAAGTTACATAGATTATAGACTTATATTGTATACATGGAATAGACAGATGGTTTGCCTCATCAATAATGGTCTCAAATTACAATGTGTTTTTTGTTTATATCTCAATGGTGACTGTTATCTTTGAATGTAGGATTATGATTTTAAGGTGTGAATGTTACCTTGGAAAGATCTGCCATCATTACCTTTATGTGACCTTGACCTTTGACTTAATTCAAAGGAGAAAGATACTTTTAAATATTAAAGTTGGATTTGGTTTTATCAATTAAATTGAAGCAAGAATTTATAGTAATGCATATAGTTAAAAATTATGAAAATTATTGGTGAAAATTCTTATTTTCACAGCTGGATACTGGAATACAAATAAAAATGTCAAAGAGTGCAAATGTGTGGCATTGTGTGTAGAGGCCTTCTACAAGACTGGACAACAGATGTTCATGCTTCACGAAATTACCACAGGCTTGTTAAATGCCAGTGAGTTTGATTTTTCCTGATATTCTCATATGTTCTTGTTAATGTTATATGGAAATGAACTTGTAATCAGTTTAAAACTTATATATTCTCAAAATATTATTTATGTAATTTGTGCATATGAGTTATGCCACTTTCATTTGTAAAACTTTGAACCCCAATATGATCCTTAATACCACTTCTCATCCCAGGTGACCATAATTCAAAGGAAATAAATATCAGAAGCTTATTAGAAAAGTTCATCTTTTCTGAACTGCTAGTACTGTAAGGTTTTCTATTACCCCTATCTATTGTCATAAACTTTTTACATTTTCAGTTTCTTACCCAAAACTCTGGACAAATTTTAACCAAACTTGCTTCAAGCATCCTTAGGGAATTTAAATTAATTAAAATGAAAGACAGTACTTCCTATCAAATTAAGGGGAAAGAGTCCAGGTAATGCAGAAAAAGTTGAGGTTATTTAAAGAATTGTGTCCCCCCCTTCTTTCCCCATTTTCTTTGTGAATAAAGTTGATTTTGAAATGTAATATAAGCAAAATCAGATGACAAAAGTGATTTCAACCTGGAGTTGTAGGACAAAAGCCTGTGGAGTTGAGTCCAATCCAAATTGCCATCACATTATAATTCATATAGTGTGTTTATATTGAAGAATCAGTCACAGAATGGGTGATTAGAATTTATTTGAATTTCTGGAACATCAGGAACAACACTTAGGAATTGTACTTGGTATAGTTTGACAGTGGAGGGAAAATCAACTCAGATTTTTACAAAACAAATTTAAAAAAAAATTTAAAGTTGTCTTGCTTTTAATTTTTCTCCTGATAAACAAATGGTATTATCAGGGCTCGAAATAATTGATGGCCTGCTGGTCTGGGGCCAATGAATTTTTAATCTTGGCAAGTACTTTACGTAGGGCATGTGCCCTTTGGGTCAGTGTTTTGTTTTTTTTTTATGCATAAAAAAGTCATTCAGGGTCGGGCTAGTTAATTTGACAGGGTTGTGTGTCGAATTTCTGTCGTTTCTTGTTTTGCTAAGCGCTACTACTAAGTGTCACAATATTAACAAAATATTACTATTATTAATATGGTTTTTGGAATTTGGGCCAGTCATTTTAAAATCTTCTGGCCCAGTGGAACAGTAAAAGTACTGAGCTGACCAGTAAAAAATTAGTGCAATAGCCCTAGTGACTATGAAAAAAAAAATTATTTCTAGCCCTGATACTATGTTATTATGACTTATTTTTGCTAAATATCTGGAATGTTTGCTTTTTTCCCTGTGACTAGAGGAGGGTAGGGGTTTCAGTGTCCATACTATCCGTCCATTTGCTCATTACTGCACGGGCTCCAGGAGTCAAGATGAGAATATGCTGATAGTTCTGACCGCTGATTCTTTTATTCCTAAAGGTAAAATATTCACTAAAGTGACATAGCAAAGAGGTCGTGTAACATTAATTCCACAATGTGAAAATCTTTTTAAATTTTAACAGACTAAAAGTACCAGAAATATTTGATCCATATGAATGTTGATACAGATAATATCTGGGTAAAGATCATAGATTGAGCATATGGTGTAGGTTGGATTATCTGTTTACAACTTTAATGTAGCCATATCTTACACTAATACTTGATTAAGGAGAAAAGCAAGGCTATACACAGGGTCAAGGTCAAATAGAGGTAAAAGGTCAAGAACAAATATGCCACAATGGTGTTTCAAAAACGTACTTTTTTTTATAGATCTGAAACTTTTTTTAAACAGGGATAGAGATCAGATTTCAAGATGAGGAAGGATGGTATGCAAAAGCTGAAAAACCTACGATAATAAAAAATGTAAGACTTTTCATTTTATTAGGTGCAATTACATTTGAGGAATCAAAATTTATTGGAAAACAAGACAAATGAAATGTCTTCAATGGCAGTGCCCAAGATCATCAAATTTTCAATCGCCTGTAAAATGTTTATTTATTGTTGAATCAATCTCTAAATTTGCAGATAACAACACTTTTGTGAAGCAATATAGAAGAATATTTTATTTTTGGTCTGTATGACTTATACAAAATTTTAGCACAATAAAGATTTTGACTTAAGCTTAAATAAGATGTTTCATGATCCCAGGGCCTGATTCTTTATAGATTTTGTTTGTAATTTTGACTGTGTGATGTGAATTCAAGTAGTAGATTTCTTCTACTTTATCAATCTATAGGTACTGGAAGTGAAAATACCTCCTTACAAAAACACAGAGCTAGAGGAGGTCAAACAAGTACATGTGCTTGTGAGGTCCGATAGCAAAGTCAATCTAGAAGCCAATCCCATCAAATTCATGTACAAACCACACGGTAGGATCTTCTGGAGTAATATCAAATCAAAAACTGTCAAAGTTTCTGCTACAAACATTGATGAAAATGAAGTTAGTTATTGCATGTGGTTCAATTTTCATAAGTTCCTTAAAATGCTTTTGCTAACATTGTAACAAGTCTTGTAGGATATATACAGTTCAACTTTTCTGATTTAGAACTTTTTTTAAAATTTGAATTTTCAGAAGGGACTGTAATCGAATGCAAAAAAAGAAAACGTCAAGACTACAGTAACATTCCCCAGGACATTTTATTGGAAGCAAATGGTAAGAAAAGTGTATCAATTCTTGATTTTTGTAATTATGCAGGTGTTATATGTAACACAGATTTAAGTACAGTATATTAAAACCATAGCCTAAGGACCAGAGTGCACAAAGAAGGTCTATAGTTTTGTATTTGATTTAAAAAATAAAATATTTTCATGCATATACAGTCAAACCTCGTTATCTCGAACTCGATGGGACTGAGATAGAACTTCGAGATATCCGAGGATTGGAGATTTCAAGGGTAAAATACTTAAAGAATAAGTAGTTGGGACTTCCAAATCACTTCGACATATCCATGGTATTCGAGATATCAGTGTTCGAGATAGATGTACCAAGTTCAACTGTATTTTGAATAGTAACCAATTTAAATATATTATGGCTCTCAAGTTTTACAAATGAGTAGAAAATACAAAAGAATATGTAAAGTGGCCAAACTAAAATTTGCAGTCAGTAGTGACTATGAAGCCCCATAAGCCTTATGTATTAACTAATACTGTAGACTGTAGGTTGGCAAATTATCACAATGGTTTTAATTTCACTATGTTCGTGATTCATCATTTTCCCGCGAAATTAAACCCATCGTGAGTGTTCGTGATTCATCATTTTCCTGCGAAATTAAACCCATCGTGAATGCTATCATAAGTTTTTAACAATAAATGCTAAGAAATAGACGTTTTTATTAGATAAACAATAAACTACATGTTAATACAGTATATTTTTAGTCAACTTTTAAACAAATATTTGGAATAACATTAATTTAAGTTGAATATATATTATAATTAATGTTAAAAGTAAGAATCAGTTGATATCATCATTTTGTTAAATGGCTGACATGAAAAAAGGTATAACAACTGCTTTAAAAAATGTAAAAAATGAAAGAAAGAAAAAATGAAAAAACCTGCCTGCCGCATTTAATTTTGAATTTTTTTCGCCTGAGAAACTATTAATTAATTTTATATGGCCTTATTGGCATTGGTATCTAAGGCTAGATTTAAGGAAATTTGATTTCCCTAAAGATGTATTTATTTTTGTACTTCTATAGGATGCAGATGTCAACATTTTACAATACTGTTTCTAAGACTCCAAAGAACCTTGAACCATATTGAGATGCATGCAATAAAAATTTTTGCATGGAAAGATTTCAATTTCAAGCTGTTTTTGAGACTTACAAATGTAATTATGATACAATGATTTTAAGAGTTATCCTTCCTGGCTGAAGAGTGGATATCCTATTTCCTGAGGTGAAGCCAAGGGAAATGGTCCTCACTGAGGGGAGAATCTTGCTAACTCCCTCAATGAAATACTTGTTTAATTGTTTTATTATACTGGTACAAATTTTGAAGCAGGGATTAGCTCACTTGACTAATGCACAGCAAAACAGGGATTAGTCCATTCACAGCAATTTCCAGGGAATTACATTGTATTCAAATCTAAAGATCTAATTTTTAAAAAAGGAAAAAATCAGTATAGGAATAATAACATTAACTAAACTCTGTGAAAACTGACTTCTTCAGTTGATAACACTTGCTTCAAGATGAGTACAGCAAACATGTATGTCACTGGTAGACATTTTAGTGTGATGCAAACATAAGCAATATGTCACTGCTTACCGAAAGTACCAAACAATGGAATTGTAATATTTATGTTACATTTGTGGTTTAAGATTGTGTAACAGCTGAATGAAATCAGATTGCCTATGATTGATTTAACCAAGTGATACTTGACCTTGCTAGCAAGTGCTCATTGATATTGCAAATGTTTACATTCATATGATGTAATTTAACAGGTGCAGATGCAAAAATCAGAATGAAATCACATTTGGAACGTAGGAAAAAGATCAGTAAGTCCAATATAAATATATTTTCGTTCTTAGAACAAGGTGATGATTAAATATTTTTCATTCTATTATTCAGATCAAAACTTTGATAATTTTTTTAAATAGTCTCTAAAATATAACAGTTACAAATTAAAATATAATGTGTATTTTAATATAATATAGAAAGTAGAAAACTGAAACACCAAGTTGACAATTACAGGTAAGGCAAGTGCCACCATTACAGCACCACAGCCCAGTGATGGTTCTTGTGCCCAGAACATTTTGCCTACAGATCCAGTATTTGATCCAGTGCAAAATTTGGATCCAAATTTTGATTTCCTCCAAAATCTTACATCCACAACACCTGCCTCCATTTCTGCTGTGCTGACTCCCTCCAATGTTCCCTTCACATCTCCAACACAACCTGGTTATATGGATGCCATTACCAGTCAGAGTATGTTGTATGGAAACCCCACCAATCCAAATTATCAATCCACATCATCCATATACCAGATACCAGTTCCATCTCCACACGCAAAGCCTCCAATTTCTGCCCAACAGATGAACATGTCTGTTCAGTCACCACAAAGTCACTTGCCAGTTCAGCCCCCCTCAAGTCAGTTTTCTGTGTCTTCACCACAAAACAATGCAGTTGGCTCAGTAACCTCCCCACCACCTCCCCAGTCTCCCATGGGTAACATAGGAAAGTTTAAGACTGTAGCCATTGCTGGAACAAATCAATGGCTCCTCATTGATCAGTTTGGAAAGCCTCTTCTTGTCCTGGGTGGTCAAAATGATGAAGTATCAGCATCTGAAGTTCAGGAGCTTCCCTCTATGAATATGGGATACATTAGCAGTCCACCCCAGTATGATATGTCTGGCTCTTATCCACCTGTCAACCAAGCAAGTGACATGCTTGCAATTAATCCACTTTCCACTACAACGGATAATGACCTGGAGGTGGATGATGCAGGTGATAGTGCAGATGTCCCTTCCTCTGTCAGTGGTTCACCTGAAACAGGAAAGCCACAAAACAAATTAAGTACATCCACGGCCTTTGAAGGCTCTGAGCAGGCTGATGATGCTGTGGTGGAAGAGGAGGTGGACGAGGCTACTATGAGTATGGAGAAGATGAGTCTTGAACTTCCCTCATCTACATAGACAGGTGATCAACTTTTCGTTGTCAAAAATTTGAAATGTGAATTGTTTTCTTCCACTTCTTGGAATTTGTGTGCAGAACATTTCATTAAGGAGAATAAACTCTTGTTGCTTAAAAAAAAAGATTAGACACACAAACTGAAGTTTTTAGCCTTCATTTTTTTTTTTATATATGAAGTTACTGTTTTTGATGCGTGTGTTGGATTGAACCAGAAAATATGGCTGGAAGAATACATGACTCAGAAAACCAAAAAAAAGTACAGTATTTGTGAACAAGAGGGCAGAGGAAATCTTTATGTGGGGCAAATTGTTGCTTTTTCCCATCAGCATTGATGTTTTATTAGAGATTCTGAATTCAGTGATGCTTTGGTCCAGGATCTTTTTATTTACCAGTAGTGCCATTGATGTTTGAAACAAGTGCTGAATGCTTATCAGAAAATAAACATGTTTGCCATTTTCATTCACGTAAAGATCATTACCTGTACTTTTACCAATTATTTATTGTATAATAGTTCATATTTAATTTGTGTAAATGCATGATATCAATGTCAGGGGTATGTAAGAGATTATAGGCTTTTTCCCAGGATATTTTAAAGTTGTTGTTGTATATTTTTAATAATAACATTATACTTGTCTTTTGCTGTATATCATTTTAATAATGATGTCATACTTCTTTGTTATTTGTTTGTTTACATCTGGAAAGAAATTGTTCATTGTTTTTGTTGCATTCAAGACTACATGCTAGTGTATGATGGAAGACTACATGCTAATGTATGACAGTGTTGTCGGAAATTGAATTTGAAAAGTGCTTTACAGCTTAAATGGGATACATATACTGATTTGCATGTCATATGGCTGAAGTTTTTCATTGCTGCTAATACATTTTTAAAATATCATATTTTTACAAAGACGTAAAAAAAAATTTTTCTTTTAATTTTACAATAAAAGTTCTGCTTTGTGCATAATGATTATGTGAAGAAGGATACTTATGTGAAAATGTCATTTTGCTTTATTTTTTAGGCTCTCTAAAGTTAATTCTATGTTTAACGTTACCCATGCACATAGGTTTCGGATAAATTGGTAGTTTGAAAAAAAAAAACAAACAAATCAGTATTTTTTAAGTTTGGATTCTGGTTTGCTTTTACTTTTAGCAATTAAAAAAATGTATTCCAAAGGAGTGGTGAACATGTTGGCCCTGTATGAGGTATATTCCAGATGAGTCTATCCCTTATAATGACAGATTTACAAAAACTGATCATTAAACAATAAGCCTTCATGTTGCGCAAATATTTACAGTATTTACAGGTTTTGAAGTTTCTAGGTGATGTTAAACATTCAATTAATTTCAGCCAGTCTTTCAGTGTGTTTTTTTTTTATACTAAGAAGAACATGTATGATGCTTAAATCATATTTTTAACCTTTAATGAGATTGTACTTTGATGAAAGTAAAAAGAATTCAAAGCAATAACAATATTTTTTTATTGGAAAATTGCTTTGAAGTTAATAAATTTTCTTATTCAGTGTTTGAATAAAAAAAATCTGTATTTGTACAGTGTACTTTTGTATGTGCCGTGTAACAGTTATTTTAAAACTAGCTCTCTCTAAAAGAATCACACTTATTGATTTAACTGACAAGTGATTACACAATGTTTTAATTACTATCTTATAAATTTAAATTTATAATTCACTGTTATTGTTTAATGCTGGTTTCTGTCAATTTCCTGGCTTCTCATACATGTATGTATCATTTGTAAACTCTGATTTTTTAATATTATTTTTTGTAATAAAATTGATAAATATATTTTTGTCAAATAATTTACTTGTTAGGGCATCTAATTTGCTGCAACATTCTAATTTGTTGTTGTTGTTTGTTTTCTGTTGTTTTGCTTTGCTCCTTGCAACCATTTGAAGATTTCAACTTGGACACACCATATACAATGTGAACCCCCCCCCCCCCGAAATATGGTGAATCACAGGCACCTGACGTTACTTATTTTTCTTTTCATAAAAAAATATACCCCCTACCTAATAATAGGCAGGGGGTATATTTATTTTTATTAAAAGAAAAATAAGTAACGTCAGGTGCTTGTGTGGTGAATCTACATCCATATAATCATGATAATTACCAGCACTTGTTAACATGTTTTAGAACATAACTGTGTCATGTACATTTGTGTTTCAAGAATGTGCTTCATTATGGGAAAAGATTGTAAAAGAAAAGTTAGTTTATAACTATGGCAGCTGTAACTATGCGTACATGTATATACACATATTTTTAGACTCGTTTATAAAAGATACCAATTTCTAGCATAACAGTCCTCATAATCTTGGGTGTTTACAGTAGTTGGTCTCGGTTATGTTCTTGGACTGATACTCTGTGTATCATCTGGACAGAAAAGCAAATGTTTTGTGGTTTAAAAAGAACACTGAAATCGTACGTGGACTAATTTAGATAGAATAATTGGGCACAAACCTTGATTTCAATTTCATTTATAAATGCCATGTTCCTCATCATAACCTCATCATTTTATTTGGTGGCTAAGAAGAAAATGATTGTTTATATATTGAAGGAAAAAACTTTTTTCAAAATAAATTTGTGGTGAAGGTAAATACGAAGAAAATTCCATAGAAGAGAATTTCATGTTTTTTTTTTCTTTTAAAATTTATCTATGAAGAATTTAATTTGACATTTTATAGATGAGTTATCATATTCTGTTGCAACATTCATGTAATTTTTAGTGTAAATTTTCATATTATACTTGGAAAATCTGCAAGTTTTGTTTAATTGTGCAAATGCTATTGTCTAATTTTCTCATGATTTATTTAGATGTCTGGTACTTACAACTACTTTATTTATACACGTAGTACTATAAATACATGTAGTATCTATAAATAATTTTAATACAAGAGAATCTTGTTTATAGTCTAGTTTGGTAATGTAACTATAAAAACATCACACCAGAATAGAGAACATGTTAAGAAATGAAGGGCAAAAACGTCGAAATGAAGGGTTACATTGTAGTTCTTTTTCTGGAGACACTGAAGAAATCCCTCTAAGTATAAGTTTTTCACGTTTACTGCTTACTTGGGTTGTGTGTTTTTGCTTTAATGTTGCAATCATCCATCCCTTTAAAACTACGGAGGTATTAGTACCATATATTTTTAAGTTGGTTATTCCAGCTTTAAAGTTGGTAAGTCAAACTTTAATCTTGGCTTTTCCAATTGTAAAAATGGTAATTCCAACTTTAATGTTGGTTTTTCCGACTTTAAAGTTGGTAATTTCAACTTCCAACTTAAATCTTGGCTTTCCTAATATCAAAGTTGGTAATTCCAACTTTAATCCGGGCTTTTCCAACTTTAATTTGAGCTTTTCTAATTTTTCCTTGCCTTTTTTTCTTTCTTTAATATTACATTTATATTATCAATTTTATTAATGCAAATTTAATACACTGAAACAAATTGGCTAGAGCAATTAAACTGTGTCAATTAGTTTTGACCTTGGCCCTCCCTATGACGTTACATATGATGTATAACTTCCAAGTTTAAAATCCATTATACATGTATTTATCTTAGTTTATCTTATATAATTTTATAGAGGATAACTTCATACAACTCCTTAAATGAGATACCTATTTAAGAGATCAGACATGCATAAATTTGTTGAGAATAAGCTTAAACAAATGGGATCATATTAGGTGTTTGATATACATGTATAGGGTGAATCAGCACAGTGTTTCATGTTTCAAAGACAACTGTATTCAATGTATCAATTTTGTATATGAAAACACAATGGAAATACTTCCTTCTTTCATCATAATTTCATTATTAGATAGTTTCTTTCCAATGTAATTATTAAACAACAACAAGGGTCTAGCTACAAAGTATACGAATAAAACGCATGAAACCGTAAACAGTTGAAAAACTCAATATGAAAGTTGGAAAAAGTTTTAAAAGGGCAAGATTAAAGATGGAATTACCCAATTTAAAGTTGGAATTACTATCATGTTGTAAATTTTGAATTTACTAGGGGGAGGTAAATGCAAAATTTACCTCCCCCTAGTAAATTCAAAATTTACAACATGATATTACCCACCTTAGATTTGGAAAAGCCAATATAAAAGTTGGAAAGGCAAGATTCAAGTTGGAATTACCAACTTAAAAGTTGGAAAAGCCAAGATTAAAGTTGAAATTACCAACTTTAAAGTTGGAAAAACCAGGATTAAAGTTGGAATTACTAACTTTAAAGTTGGAAAAGCCAACTTTTAATTTGGAATTACCAACTTAAAAAAAATTACTTGGCACTAATACGTATCCTTAAAAAAAAAAACAAACAGCATAGAATACTAGTAAACAGATAAAACAGCATTTTAATTAACCTGTGCATACAAGTAGACTACACTAACATACATAATTCTGTATATCGGTTTTTGATTTCGATTAACGGTGTTGCCATTGTTAATAAAAATAGACATTTCTGAGAAATACTTTCAAAACGCTACTCCTCCTACAGTTCTGATCTGATTTCAATATAACTTGGTACAGAAGTACTACACTAAGCAACATATAATCTCTGTATCCGTTTTTGATTTCAGTGAACGGTGTGGCCATGGTTACTAAAATTGAAATTTCTGTGAAATACTTTCAAAATTCTTCTCCTACTTTTAGTCTGATTTCGATATAACTTTGCACACAAGTGACTTCATTGAGTTACATAATACTGTGCATCGGTTTTGATTTTGATGAACGGTCTTGTCATAGTTTCTAGAAATAGAAATTTCTGTGAATTCTTTCAAAAGACTGCTCCTCCAACAGTTTTAGTCTGATTGCAATAAATCTTGCCACAAAGAAACTAAACCAAGTATCATTATTCTGTTTATTGCTGTTGCATAGTTTCAAGTGCAAGTACTATTTTCTCCTCCTTTGTTATAAGTAGAAACCAGTAGAGCTACAATCTCGTTCTAAAGCTTAATTTTGCCCCCAACTCTTGGATTATTTTCTTGAAATAAATTATTTATTAACTTCAATTATTATTTATTAAACAATTTAATGGTCAGATTTGTTTGAAAGCTTATATCATAATCATATAAATTCATTTATGATACTGAATAAAGACTTTATACAAAAAATAGAAGAAAGGTTGCTG